CACGGTCAGAATATGAGCCAGAAGCCGCTAGGACGGCGGAGAGGAACCGATGGGTCCACTGCCTCTCTCGGAAATGGACAGGTCAGCAGCCAGAAAACCAGCTAAGGCACAGCTGAGCTCCACCTCACCTTCAGTTCACTGCCTACCAGCGACATGCGTAGACCACCTGAGTCAACAGCAGGACACACGGTCTTCTCAAGCTCCCGTGGAACAGTCACCAAAACCAACCACATTCTGGGCCAGAAAACACACCGTAACCCATTTGAAAAATACAATGTCTGTTCTTAGACGTCAGTGAATAGAGGCCAGCGCAGCCCTCCCCGCCCAGGGCCCCCGCCCAGAGTCCGCGGGAAGCCGGGCCCCCCTTGAGGTTTTCAGCCCCTAGGGCGCGGTGGGAATCGGGCAGCGGGCCTCCCTGCTGCAGGGCCGATGTGAGACGCAGGACCCCTGCAAGCCCATGTTAGTTCCTGTTCATAGATAGGAAGACTCAATATGTCAAGGCGCTTCCCGACTTGATCTACAGGTTCAAAGCAATCCCAGTAAAAACCCCAGCGAGTTATTTTGTAGATATTGACAAACTGATTCCGAAGTTTATATGGAGAGGCAAAGACCCAGAATAGCTAACACAATGTTGAAGGAGAAAAACAAAGTTAGAGGACAGACACCACTCAACTTCAAGCCCCAACCTAAAGCTGCAGTCATCATGACAGTGTGGTGTCACTGGTGGGAGAACAGACAGGTGGGTCAATGGAGGGGAACAGAGAGCCTGGAAATGGCTTTCCATAAATATAGTCAACTGGTCTTTGACAAAGAAGTCTTCTTGCCAAATGGTACTGCAACACTGGCCATGCGAAAAATAAAATGTAGACACAGACCTTAACCCTCCACAAAATTAACTCGAAGTGGATCAGACACCTAAATGTAAAATGCAAAACTGTAACACTCCCAGGAAAGAACACAGGAGAAAACCTACATGACCTCGGGCAGTGACTTTTTAGATAGAACTCCAAGTCATTACCCATGAAAGAACTAATTGATAACCTGGAACTATTGTTAAAATTAAAACTTCTGCTCTGTGAAAGACAACATCAAGAGAATGAGAAGACACAGACTGGGAGTAATACTTGCAAATGACACAGCTGGTAAAGGACCGTTGTCCAAAATATACAAAAAACATCTTGAAAGTTAGTAAACAAACAAACAATCCAATTTAAAAATGAGCCAAAGACCTTAACAGACACCTCAGCACAGAAGATACATGAAAAGATGCTCCCCATCATGTGCTATCAGGGAAATGCAAGTCAAAACAACAGCAAGGTACCACTACACACTTGGCCTAAATCTGGAACACTGACACCACCAAGTGCTGGCGAGGATGTGGAGCAACAGGAACTCTCATTCCTTGTTGGTGGGAATGCAAAGTGGTGTAGTCACTTTGGCAGACAGTTGACAGCTGGTTGCAAAACTAAACATATTCTTACTACATAACCCAGTAATTGCACTCCTTGATATTTATTCAAAAGAATTGAAAAATTATGTCCACACAAAACCCTGCACACAGATGCTTATAGCAGTTGTATTCATAACCACCCAAACCTGGAAGCAACCAAGAGATCCATCAGTGGGTAAGTGGATAAACTGTGGCATTTCCAGGAAATGGAGTATTCTTCAGTGCTGAATAGTAATGAGCTAAAAAGCTATGAAAATACATGGAGGAAACTTAAAAGCATATGCCTAAGTGAAAGAAGCCAATCTGAAAGGGCTACAGCCTGTAGGTTTCAAACTATGTGACATTCTGGAAAAGGCAAAACTATGGAGACAGTAAAAAGTTCAGTGGCTGCCAGGGGTTGGGGGAGGGGAGGGATGAACAGGAAGAGCACAGAGGAGTTTTAGGGAAGTGACAGTGCTCTGTGTGATACTCTAGTGATGGACACTTGTCATTATACATTAGTCCAAACCCACAGAATGTACGGCACCGAGAGTGGGCCCTGCTGTAAACTCTGGACTTTGGATAACAATGGTGTGTCGATGTAGGTTCATCGGTGATAACAGAGGTGCCACTCTGGTGGGGGGTGCTGATAGCGGAGGAGGCTGTGCACGTGTGGGAGCAGGTGTATATGAAAAATCTCTGTACCTTCGTCTCAATTTTTCTGTGACCCTAAAACTTCCCTTAAAAAAAAAAGTTTATTAAGAAAAATCCACGACACAGCCCAAATGTGTTTGGCTTGTTCCAGAAATAGCAAAGAAACCACTGTGGCTTCTCTCTAGAGGAAGAGAGGACTGGAGAGGCCAGGCCACCGACTGCCTGCCAGGCGACGGGAAGAAGTGTGAAGATACTGTTGTTTGGGGCATTTAGTGTCCCCTAAAGACACTACAAATTCACAAAAGCACAACAAATAGAAATAGTTGAGCATTATAATGATGACCGTGTAAACTAAATCATGAATAATATGCTCCATTTTCTAGAGAAATCTTTTAAAAATATGTTACTGTATCTACTTCCCTGAGTGAAGTTGTGAGTTTCTAATACGTGAATACATTGTATAGATATCCAAGAACCTACGGGGGTGAGGTTTTTCCTGCCACTTGGTGCCATAAGGCCAGACACCTCCAATAGCCTGTCCCTGTCCTTTACGCAGCCCATTGCCAGGCCTCCCACCAGACTGCAGAGCTGACCACTGGCCTGTCACTGAGGCTGCAAAGAACCTGACACCTGCTAGTTCAACTCCTGCTTCTCCGGAGCTGCCCACCCCTCTGGGAATGCCGAGCCTCAAACTCCTGGAGCACTCACCCCTGAAATAGGTTGGTAGTCTCCCCGTTTCAAAGCCTGACACACTGCCCATTTGACGTTACTTTAACTCTTTAACCTAAGAAGTAACTACCAGGTGAGCAGTAAGAGTGAAAATAAATGCATTTATCTTAGCTTCCCCTGAGTTAATAAGTACATTGCATTCTAGACGTTTAGTACGTGTTGACTCCATGTTTCTGACCACATACGTCATTGACATTGGAATCCAGTGACCTCCGCTGCTTGCTGTGAGAAGAGTCCCAACCCAGATTTTTCAGCTGAAAATGCTATCATTTAGCATTTGCTCACGAACTGAATTAAGGTTTTGCGTTATAAACAAACACTGTGGGAGCAGTTCTGGCCTATGGGCGGGTGGTTTTGTGCAGGATGCTTGGAATACCACGGCCATTACAAACGCTGTAGATCCTCTGGCCTGTTTCCCAGCTTGGCTTTTAGAAAAGGGTCAGAAGACAGGCTGAAGTTAATGACACGTGAATGCCGAGTCCCAGTGAGAGGCGTCTTCAAAGGAGTAATTAGGCAGACTTCACAGGAGACTAGGAGAAAAGGCTTTGGGCCAATTATACCCTTGCTTTCCAAATCACAGCAACAGCAGCAACAAACATCTAAACTGGGTTTACCCCCTAGACTGCCGTATATTATCATCAATGCCCCTGCTCCGTCGCCCTCGGCTGTAAAACAGGGGCTACACTGCATCCCTCCGGGAGACAGGGACGGTAAGGGGCCCACTCACGGCCGCGCAGGGAGGATTCGAACCCAGGCCTGCCTGGGAGTCCAAGCCGTCATTCCCTGCGCGACGCGCGTTCTGGGGAGGAGCGGGGACCGGCGCGCTCGGCGTCACACCCGTGACCCTGCGGGCTCTGCGCCTCTGCAGCCGCCCCCCGCGCCCTGCCCGCGGGC